TCCCACCACACTTTTTTGTGCTACTGGGGATCGCACGCAGGACACTCTGCCATCAAGAGCACCCCTATCTCTTTTTACATTTTTTTTAAGAAATAGGGTGTTGCTGTGTAATTCAGGCTGGCCTTGAGTTCATTATGTAGCCCAGGCTGGCCTTCAATTCACAGTGATCCTACTGCCTCAGCCTCCCGAGTGCTGGGATTACAGGCATGCGCCACTACACCCAGCCCTTCTTACATTTATTTATTGAGACAGGGTCTTGCTAAGTTGCCCAAACTGAGTTGTACTTGCGGTCCGCACTTCCGCCCTGAGTGGTAGGATCACAGCACACTACGGTGCTGGGTACTGATGCTCCCTGAACTGAAATGGTTGTGTCAGTGCCTGAGGGGCAGGCGGTGTGCAGTGGACCCTTTGACCCTGCACTGAATGTCCCCAGGCCACCAAGGTCCCTGACTTCTTCTACCTGCTTCTGCTCACTGTTCTGTCTCCTCCCACTGCCAGCGTCACTGCCGCTTCGGGTGAAGCCTCCAGGAGGAGCTGTTCTCTGGCCACATCTGTCCAGGGCTTGTGGCTGAAGCCCATGGGTTTTGTTCAAAGGAAAGATCGGGCATTTGTGAGTCAAGTCCCACAGCTTTAGCGGCTGACAGCTCGGTGCGAGTGGGTGTGGCTTCTTAGGCACAAGTGTAAGAAACACGGACAGAGGCTAGGTTTGGGGCCTGACAGACGTCATTTTAATTTTCAGCCCCCTGTAAGCAATGCGACTTCCAGCACGAAGAACCTTGCTCTCTCTAGCCAACATGCTCTTCCTCTGAAAACAGGTTGCATAACACAGGGCAGCGGCAGCGGCTTTGAGGCGCACTGATTGGCTCTCACCGACTGACTCTCTCCTGGGGCCAAACTTTCTCTAGAAGCTTCCATCGCCCAGCCCTGTGCTCTGCCCCCACCCTCAGAAGGCGGGAAGCGCTGCTGGGAGCCACCGCCGTGCCTTGGTTCCCTGGCCTCCTGCACGGTCCTCTGCCCGGCTGGCTATGGGGGACCAGGGGGCACTTCACGGCCTGAAGGGTGGCACGGCCAGTAGACAGCAGAACCGGGGCCCCACTTTTTCTTGGAGGCTTGAGGGAGGGCGAGCTGAACACACCAGAGCGAGCCAGGAGCAAACTTCTCCTGGGCGGACCACCGAGATGCACAAGCTGGTGTGACGGTGTGGTCTGCACATCTTGAACGGGACACGGCGCTGGAGACTTGCGGCGTGGAGATCCAATCCTATAATATTAGTCACGGTAGTGCTGTCCTAGGCACTTGACACGTATCATTGCTACTGCAACCCTTCGAAGAGGAGACTGCTTTCCCTGAGCTGCATGTGACGAGACACAGAAGCTGAATCTTGCCCAAGGTCATACACCTCGTAGGGTCAACATTCTCCTCGGCAGGATGTGTCCAAAGCTCTCACCCCTAACCACTGCGCTGCCTGTCATTCTCGGAATGACTACCCGCCAGCATCTGGTGGCTTTCAGGTTATTAGTTTTGGGCAATGTGAGATGCAGAGCTGAGTAATAACGGATGTGTTGAGCAATTTTTTAAAAACCCTGAATCTATTATAACTGCATATCAGATCTTGTTTGCATGTGAGTTCTTTCAGATGCTCAAGAACAGATAATTTCCATGCGAACTGATGCATGTACACGCATGTGCTATACACCAGTATGTGCCGCTGTGATTTGTGTGTGCAGGGGATGAGCGTGTGTGCAGGGGATGTTTGTGTGCGTGTGGTATGTGTATTTATGCAGCAGGCTTGCATGTATAAAAGCAGTGTGCATGCATATTCTATGCACGTACACATGTTCACGTGTGTAGTTGCGACTGCACAATACATGTGAGCATGAGCATTGTGCGTATGTGGTTTGTGGGGTGCGTTCATGCGCTTATCCGTGTGTGTTTGTGTGGTCCGTGTACACAGATCTGTGTATACCGAGCACAGACATGCACACCAGGAACACAGAAATGTACACATCACACCTGTGGACAGCACAGACACATACACACGTGCTACATGTTAATACTTAGAAGAGGTGCGAAGAGGTTGGGGCAGGCAGGGGAGGAGCGAAGGGAGGACCACGTGACAGGAGACCTGCCCCTGCCTGATCGCACAGATAGTGCCGTAGAAGGGGCTTCACTATTGTTCGGCCATCATCTGTGGGCAGCTGCGGGGGGCTGGACTCCCAACCAGGGACCCCTCCCGCTCCTATGCTGAGATCCTAATCCGCAGTGGGATGGGATACTGGAAGTGGAGCCTGGGAAGGGAATTCGGTCCTGAGAATAGAACCCTCTTTTCTGGGGTTCATGGCCTTACACACACGTGACCCAGGAGCACTGTGCACACTCTGCAGCGTGAGCACACAGCAAAGCAGGCATCTGTGAGCTCCTGGCAGACGCAGAGCCTCCGTCCCTTGACCTGGGCCTTGCCAGCCTCCGGCCCTGTGCGAAGCAGATTTTTGGTTTATCGGCTCTGGGCTGTGGCGTTCTGTGGTGACAGCCCGCACAGAAAGAGTCGGGTCTACTTCATGGAGCCAACATCAGACCTTGTGTATCAGCTGGTTCCGTCAGTTCACTGGCCACCGTCCCCATTCCCTGGAGCCACAGGTCACACCCACGTGACAGCCCCCTGGTATCTGCAGGCAGCTACTTAGACCGTGTGTGGGTCCCTCGGGGGCCTGGGCAGCTAAAAGTCTAGGCTGGACATGTGGATGTGCACAGGACACGCGTACCACGGACACGGAAGGGACCCTGAGCACCTGGCATAGCGGTAAGGCAGCGGCGGGAGCTCCGACTGGAAGGCGGCCTCGCATTCTCTCCGTTTGGGGCTGTCTGCGTGCGGCCGGCGCTGCCGCTGTCCCCACGGTAAAAGCCAGAGTGGAATGTGAAACCGTCTCAGCCATCACTGTGTTACCGACAAGCTCCATGCGGGACAGGAAGTTGTAGCCACATGAAATGTTTATGCTCCGCGCTGCTGTGACGGCCTGCTGCTTTTGTTTGCGTGGGGTTTGCCTTTTCCTTTTCCCAAAGTGGATTACAGTATCCCTGCAGTGAGGGAACTGCTCACAGCACGCTGTGACCCGCTCCCGGGCCATCATCCAGAAGGGCTGGGCTGCCAGGGCCGGAGCCCAGAGGCCCTGAGAGCCATTGTGCATGTGGGGGCTCCTCTGTCTAGGTCATGGGCTTGGCTGGGAGCAGGACGCCCGCCCCACTTCGAAAGGACAGCTGCAGCCTCTCAGTGACTTCAAAACAACTGCCTGCCAGGCAATTGTTGTTTCTCCAGAGAGAGTGAAAGTAGTCCCATAATTATTACTTTTTCTTTCTTTTTTTTTTTTAAACTACAGTCATCTAATATCTTCTGGAGAATTGGGTTTCAGGACTCCCTGGTCTAGGATGCTTCCTACATTCAGGTTTGAAGAAGCCATCCTGCCCCTCCGGCTCAGGCCACTCACCTCCACTGGCTGGTCGGTCCCCTCCGGAGGGGGCTACTGAAGCAGTGGTGTGCACAAGCACTGTCAGACCATGGCTTGTCCCCACCCCCAAGTGGTGGCCCTCCCTGCCCATGAGCTTTTCATCATCATGAGAACCCTATGGGTCTGCATCACTATTACTTTTTTTTTTTTTTGGCCTTTTGAGACAGCCAAAAAATGCAGCCCAGACTGGCCCTGAACTCTCAGCGATCCTCTTGCCTCAGCCTCCTGGATGCTGTGATTACAGCCATGTTCCACCGCACCTGGCTTTCTGCATCATGATCTCATCTTTTTCCCCCCAAACATTACGCTGGATCTCCAGTTGTGACAGCAGCTCTATTTCACTCTAGTCTTTTATTTCTTAAGTGCTAGGGATTGGACCCAGGGCCTCATGAATGCTGCACAAGTGCTCTACACGAAGCTATACTCCCAGCCCCACACTGAAGTCTTATAAAAATCTTGGTTGTGCAGATTAACATGTCAGTGTTTTCCGGAGCACACTTACAATTTGGGGCACTCTTTGGGGCAAGAGGATTTTACTGACACTTTTCGGTTTTTGGAGGGCCACATTTTACATGGAAGACCTGACATTTAGCCTCCTGGGTCCACACTGCTGTCTGTGACATCCTCCACCCCCGCAGTATGTATCCACCGAACACAACCACATGCCACAGACAGTGCTGAGTGTCACATCTCCATTCTGTGGATGGCAACACTGAGGTGAGGGAGGCCTGTCGCCCGCTGACAGGCCCACATGGGGTGGTGAGGGGCGGGCAGAATTTTACCTGAGTCCACGAGGGCTCCGTCCCCTGGCAAAAGCCACCGCCATGTCCCACTTCAGGAGCCCTGGCCTGGCTTACAGAGGAGATCCAGACCTGCTGGCAACTTTTCAGGACATTTTATTATAAAGAGGTCTGAGAGAAGCGCTGGGCACCAAGACAGACAACTGCTGGGCCAGGAAACAGCCGCAAACAACGTCAAGAACCAAACCCCAAACCACGCACACGTCAGGATAAACTGCAACTCTGTCCGCAAGTTTTCTTCATAAATAGACAAAAATCAGTGTTGGCAATTTTAAATAGATGGACACCACGGTTTAAAGGAAAAAATAATGAAGAGCAATGCCTCCAAGTGCGGCCGTGACCTGTCCGGTTCTCGCTGCGCAGATGAAGAAGCGGTTTGACAGCTGCTGTGCACACGTCTCCCTTAAGATAAAACTTAAAAAAAATGTGCTAAGGGCCATATAAAATGCTTTTTACCTTAAAGGAAACTACTTTCCCCACCCCCGCAAAATAATCTCACAGATGTCTGCAGCACAGTTCTAAAACACTTAGTCAACTATTTACACGGCGCCCACGGTTGGCAGGTTGCGGGATCTTGCGTGCACACTGGAAAACCGTATTTGCAAGCCCTGGCCAAGCAGCTGGGGTGGGTTTCTGTCGGGAAACGACCCCTCCAGGGCTCACTGAGCCGGGCCCGACGACGACGACGACGACGACGACGACGACGACGACGACGACGTCCAGACAGAGGGAGTTTTGTGCGGGCAAGGAGCAGGGTCCGCGGCTACCCTGGAGCAAGCAGGCGAGCGGGCAGAGGATTCCTGCAGGTTCTTTGGGCTGGCAGCGGGCGCTGGGCTGCCTCTGCGGAGTCTGGTGGGAGGTCGAGGGCGAGACTCAGCCCTGGGCTGCTGATGTTTCACTGTCTCACTGGCCGGTCACCCTGCCTCCTGTCACGGCCTCTCTCCTGCGGTCAGCCCTTCAGGCTCTGAGCGACTCCCGTCCAGTGAGGCTCAGGGAGGAGAGGGGAGGTGGATTAGGTGAGGTAGAGCGATTTGTCCCTGGGGAGCAGGCTGTGGGCAAGAGGAGAGTGTCAGCCCGTGGAGCCCAGCGGGGCCCAGGAGCCCCGAGACCCCCGGGTTCAGGTCCTGCGCCCCTCACCCCGAATAGCTGCCTCTCTGGGGCTGGATGAGGGATCCTGACTGTCCCCCGAGCAGAATCACACACCCCCCGGGAATCGGATCCTGGGAGGGGCCGCTGTGTCTGCCTGTCCTCCCATCCACAGGAGCCGTCCCAACCTCACTGCTTCGAACCAGGTCTGTTCTCCTTGTGCCTTTCAAGCAGAGTTGCAGGCAGGAAGTACCATTTGTTTCTGCATGGGGGCCGCTGTGGTCCCTCACCCACGCTGGGTGCAAAGGGCCGGCCTGGGGAAGCTGGGACACTCTGGGATGCCCTTGGAGGTGTGTCCCAACCCTGGAAAGGGAAACTGCCGGAAGGAAAGAGGGCTGGGCAAGAGGGGCTGCATCTGCTTGGGCTCCGGGGAGCGGTCCTGGTGAGCCGACTGTGCCTGCCCATGTGGACTTGCCCAGGCGTGTCACAGTGGGGTGCCTGCGGGGCTCCCTTCGGGCCCAGGAGCACTGGCAGGCGTGGCAGAGTGAGGAGCTTGTGCCAGCAGGCCGATGGCCGCGGCCAGGGGCAGCCACAGCCTGCCTGGTGGCAGAGAGAGCCACTGTCCACCAAATATTACAGTGCTGCCTGGGTGGGCTCTGCTGTCCCAGGTGGGACGTGGGCCTGTCCTCACCAAGGGGGCGGGGGACAAGTTAGGGAGTAGGGAGGCCTCCTCCATTCTGTGCTTCCTCTTCCGCTGCCCGAAGGCAGGCGTCACACTGAGGGACCCTTCTGCGGGGTGTGGTTCCTTGGGTTACAGAGTTGGCCCTTTCTCCTAGGACACCTCACCCCTATCCGGTGCAAGCAGCTGTCTCCCCCAGAGAACCGCCCACGGCTGACTGGGAATCTCTGTGACACGGGGGTGGGCAACGCCCACAGCCAACGGCTGACTGTTCCAGGCGTGTGGGAGGTCAGCTCCCTGACCTCCGGTGGGACCCCTCTGGGCTAGCATTCTCGCTCCCGGGTCCCCTGGGGTCAGGCAGAGTGCGTCTCCAGCTGAGGTCCTACCCTCAGCCAGCTCTTTCCTGCCCTGTCCTGCCACCCTCAGCTCTTCTCCTGCAAGCCCCTCACCCCATCACTGAGGGCCCCTGATCCTTGCTGCCTCAGTCTCCGCTTCTAGGAAACCTGGCTTAAGACCTAGGATCTACATGAATGTCACAGGGAAGCATTTTTGCAAAAACAGGGTGCAAGGAGAAAAAGCAAACATGACAACTGGCCTCAGTTTCCCCAAAAGGCCTGGGCACCAGACGAGCCCTCCTGGGACCCCGCTTTGCTCTGTGCCATCCCCTGCCGATGCTCGGAGTCCTCCCCCCGGGCTCCCGGGGTCTGCTCACAGTCCCCCACGCATCTCCCCACCCCTTGCACCCTGTCCCCGTCTCCCTGTGGGGACAGACAGGACAAAGGCAGGACACACGGGGGCCGGGGGCCAGTGGGGACTGACCTGCAAGTGCTGATGCCACACTCCCCACTGGGGTAGCTGCTGTCCCAGTCCCCGCTGCCTGTGGGGTTGGATGGGCCAGGGGAGCGGGAGCCGGAGCCGCTGGGAAACTCAGAGAGGTGGGAGAAGTCCTGCAAAAGCAAAGGACAGTGAGCGGGGAGGGACGAGGCGCTGGCACAGGAAGCTGGAGTGGGGTGTCTGTGTGTCTGACGGTGTCTACCTCTGTGTGACACTTCCTCAGAGTCATGCGGAATCTCCACCTCCAAGGCTACCTCCTTTTTCCCAGCGAAGCAACTGACAAAAAATGTAACCTGAACTGGGGGGTGTACCACAGGGGTAGAGCCCTTGCCTAGCATGCACAAGGCTCTGGTTCCATCTCTACTACTGCAACACAAGAACAAAACAAAGAATTTCAGCCCTCATCTTAGCTAAATCAGGGAGTGACTTTGTTTCCAGGGTCTTTCTTTTCTGGGCCTCAGTTTGCCAATCTGTAAAATGGGGTTGTTTGGCTGAATACAGTCTTGGAAAAGTCTGTGGAATAATCAGTGGGGGTGAGGTCTTGAAGGTTTGGGGAGAGCCAGGTGCCTGGGGCTGAAGGCTGAAGTAGACAGAGAATGACAGGGAGCCCGTGGAATACCCTAACTATCTACCCAGCAACTCATCAGCTGTTGACTATGGCCAGTGCTTCACAGGTAAGATGTACTGGACCCATTTCTGAGATGTGTAAACTGATGCTCAGCGAGGTTCCGTGGTATGGATGAGTGGCAGGGCCAGTACTGAAACCTCAGCCAGCTTCCCTCTCCTGAGGGGTCACCGGGGCTATCCCTACTCTGCCCCACTTACCTGTGGGCCTGGAGGAGAGGGGCTCATCGCCAGCTGCACCTGGAGCGCCATGGGGGCGGGCAGGACAGCAGGCTGGGGGGCCGGGGACATGCTGACGGGTGGGCTGAGGAGGGCGCCCTGTGCATGCGGGGGCAGTGTCAGCTGCTGGTGCAGTGGGGGGCTGAGCGGGAAGGAGGGCGGCGGCGGCGGGGATGCGCTGAGGCCTGGCAGCAGTGACTTGGAGCCCAGCGTCCGGGCGAGGCTGGCGGGGGAGGCCCCGCTGCGGAAGGCCTGCAGGTCAGAGGGCGTCAGGAAGGAGGCCAGGCCGGGCACGGCGTACATGGGCTGCTTGGGCGGGAGCATTTTGGCTGGCGGATTCGCCTGAGCGCTCTTGGTCTCGCCTTGGTCTGCAGGGCTCTGGGGGGAGATGGAAACCAGTTACTCTGGACAAAGCGGATAAGCAGACCCCGGCTGCGAGCCCAGGTGGTTTTGTACCCCACCACGACGGCCCTCAGCCGCTCTCTGGATGCCCGGGGGACAGCTGTGGGTGAAGCAGCGACGACCACACGGGGTACTTGGAGCGCCTGGCTCTGACCAGCCCCCCCCCCCGGGGCCGCACCCCCTCACAGTAGCCACACAGCTCTCTGTGCCCGTGTGTGCTGTCCCCTCGACTCTGAACACCCCCTTTATGGCCCAGCTCAGGCACCACCTCCTCTGTCACAGATTCTAGGGTGAGCCCTCTGGGCCCCAGTTACAGTCACACCTCATCACTGCATTGCTGGTGAGGGCTGAGAGGAAGATGTGGGAAGCAGTGAAGACCGGCACAAGCGCCTGCCTGCCGAGCGCAAGGTCCTGAGTTCGATTCCCGGTACCAGAAAAAAAAAAAATGACTAAAGACTGGCAAACTGGATTTGAATCCTTGTAACCACTAATTGGATATTTTCAGGCAAGCTGATAAGCTGGGCTCCAGCCGGGAGAATTTAGTGAAACGAGAGCCACATTAAGTGCCCAGCATGGGCCTGGCACAGGTAGGTCCACTGTAACTGTGACATATGGGTCTCATCCATCCTTTCTAAGACCTGCGGGACTAGCCACTCCAGGGCCTCAGCTCTTGTTCCACCTCTCAAGTGGTCCATTGTACTAGGGTGTTGCCTAGGGATTCTGTTACCTTGGAGACGAGGCTAGCCCTGTAGGCTGCCAGAGCTTTCAGATACTCCTTCTTCGCCGCTTCTGTCTTCCTCTTGTATGCCTGAAAAATCCAAGACATGGCAACACCGGGGAGAAGGTCACGAGGAGTCACGGTGCAGGGCCTGGATGAGAAGGCATGGACTCCAGGCCACACGTGCATGAGTGTGGTAGGACGGGGAGCTGGGTCCGTCACCCACTGGCCTCTCCGGGAGCACTGCACCGGGAGGGTAGAGGCCAGGCTACCCGGGTCCTCAGCCAGGCCGCTCTGGCTCTCACACAGCACGCTTCACCTTTCCGGGCTCCCCGTCACATCAGCGCAACCGACTCCAGAAAGACAGGGTCTCCAAAGCCCCCTCTCTGACCCAGCTGTCCCTGCACTCTGCCATAAGCCCTGGACTCATTTCTGGTAGGACTAGTATTAGGAGTTTTAGACGTAGGTTTGTAGGTTGTTGTAGGAACGGCCCCGTCTTTTCCTGCTTCTGTTCACGCCTTTGGGTGGAGCCCTCCCCTCATGACCCAGGCTTTGGCTTGGGTCTCGCTTTGGCCAACAGGGACAGGACTGAAAGCGATGCAGGCAGGGACCTGCACAGGGAGGTTCCCCCTCACTGTGCTCGAGACGGAGTTGCCATGTGAACACACCTGGCCAGTGTGCCAGGGGTGGGGTTGAGGGGTGAGACACACACGGCCCCCTTTGCTCGCAGCTGAAGCAGAGCTGCAGGCACGTGGGGGAACCCCACCAAGAGCAGCGACAGAAGCATCCCGCTGAGGCCAGCACAACCCGGGACCGTCAGAATCACGATTTGAATAAATGGTTGCTGCTGTTAACCAGTAAGTTTTGGGACTGTTTGTTACTCATTCAGAACTGTGTAGGTAGCTTCAGTAAGTCTTCGTGAAGACGTGTGAAAGGTGCCTTCCTTTCTCTAAGTTCTGGAATTGTCTGCTTTCTGATGATTTGGGAAAACTTTCCCATCAGTCAGAAGGCTCTAAACTTTTTGGGTGAAATGGGCCTTTTTTTTTGTTTCTTCCCTATAATTTTCCCAACACCGTCTCCTTTGTTAGTATATTATTAGCAGAGTAGGAACATAAATAAAATTTCTTAATGAAATTTGACTGACACAGCTAATAGTCATGCTTAACAATGAAACATGAGAAGTAAATGAAAGACAGAAGACCGTTCTGCCCACCGCGAGCTAACATCTTTTTCAAATAGTCCCAATCACCATCACTGGGAAAAGAAAACAAAATTAGAAATACAAAAATGGGAAGTAGGGGGACAAGAATAAGGAAAAAAATAGAGCTGGGCATGATGGCACATGCTTGTAATACTGGCACTTGGGAGGCTGAGGCAGGAGGATCACTACAAGTTCGAGGCCAACCTGGGCTACATAGTGACCTCAAAGCCAGCTTGAACGACATAGTAAGACCCTGTCTCAAAAAAACTTAAAGAAAAAAGTAAGGAAAAGATATTCTTACCATCATCATTATTATTTATAAAGGATATCTATATCTATAGATATAGATATTCCCCCCTATATGGACACATGTATATATATATATATATGGATGTTTATGTACATTTTATATATCTGAATGTCTAGGGATTAACTGAAAATTTATCAGAAATTATAATATAACTCATCCAGAAAAATAGTGACAAAATAAACTGCTAGCTTTTAAATATATCAACAACAGTTTGCTAGAAAAAAAAAGAGAAAACCATGTCCTTTATGATGCATTGGTGGAGATATACTAAGATGTATAATAAGTTCTTGGATTGAAAGACAACAGCAGAAAGACCAACAACAGTGCAGTCAGAAAATTCAGAAACCGGGTTGGAGATGCAGCTCAGTAACAGGGCACTTGCCAAGCATGAGCAAACCTGTGAATCTGCTGCCTAGAACCAGGAAAAAAAATATCAGAAATAGGACCCATACAGGAGGTCAGACTCTCTCTGACCTTCACCTGCCCCTGCATTGCACTGGATGGGGTCAGAGCAGCATCCCCAGGGAGGCCCTGTAGGGACAGAGGACCTGAGATCGCCATCCTCCGAGATCGTGCTAGAAAGAGAGGGGGCCCCCATACACACACAAAGGAAGGGGAATGTGTAGCAACAAAGAAAGGACAGTAACAACCAAGGTCTGAGAGCAGAAGCTGGCGGTGCCCTGTAGCACCCTTGGCCCTCACCACTGCAGAGCAGAACACATGACTTCCAGAGGCTGAGGGTGCTGTCCCTTCACCACAGCGCTCTCTGGGACAGCAGCCTGTTCTGCCATGCCCATGGCAGGCCTGAGTGCTAGAGCTGCTCTCCAGCAGTGACGGACAAAAGCTGGTGCGCACCCCGCCCCTTGCAGCTCAGCCGGGCCACCCCTCAGCCAGGGGTTCCCAGGGGACTGTGGGAATTCTCGGACGCTGTGCTCTTCATTGGCTGCCTTCCTTGCCCTGTCTTACCTCTCCATACTCTGCAGATTTGGGGATCACCTCTCAAATAAACTGCTACAGTTTATAAGCTACTGGCACAACACTATATTCCAAAAATGCCTTACATTTTAGAATACGCTAAAGGAAGCATTTCATATAAACCAGGGATCCATTGCTCTGGCCCAAACCTGCTCTCGGCAGAGTCTGCCTTTGGCACGAGCACCCCAAAGTCTTGGAAAGGGATCGAGGCTCACCTGCTTCTGCTCCTCTCCCAGGCTATCCCACATGGAGGCCACGATTTTGGAAACATCCCCAAAGGTGGCACTGGGGTTCTGCCCCTTGATGGCGGCCTGAGTGTCTCTGAAGAAGAGTGCGTAGGCTGACACAGGCTTCTGTGGCTCATTGGGGTCCTTCTTCTTCTTCTTCTTAGGGTTCTTGGCCTTTTTCCCTGGGTCGGCCGAGGGTCTCTTCTCTCCCGAGATCTGCCCGGGTGAGAGGAGTCAGAAAACCAGAAGCCCAGCCTCAGGCCCAGCTGGACTTGGCTCAGCAGTCCCACCACGGCTCTACCAAGCCCGGGTCATACCCAGGTGGTGACGGGGACTGTCCCATCCAGGCTCACACACTGCAGCCTGGCCTGCACGGTAGGTCAGCACTCACTTGGTGAGAGACAACAAATAGATACACAGACATATATAGACACACATGGACACACAGACCCACACAGAGATAAAGACACACAAACAGACACAGACAGACATACATACTGATCCACACGAACAGGCAGAAGCAGAGACACATGGACAGAAAGACACACAGACCCTGGGTAGGAGCACTGGGTATACCTCAACAGAGATTTAACAAACTGAAGAGAACCTGTGTGAGGATAATACTGACTCAGAGAAATTCAGGAGGAAAAGTCTTCACAGTCCTTGAAAGACTGAATGATCGAGACTGCTAAGGTACACAGAGAATTGGCCAATGTCCTATACAGCAATAAAACCATCATTTTGGGACTTTTTATCTTTTCTGCTGCACAGAAATCATCTGTGTGTCTATCGTGGTTTAATTTTTTTTAACTTTTTTTCTTCTGCTTTTTCTATTAGTTTTTTCCAAGTTAATATTTTCCTTCACAGAGCTGGAAAAGCCCCCAGTCAGGAGTGAATGTGCTGCAGGTTGATTCTAGAGAAATAGGCGTTCCTGCCCAGATCGGGTGGGCTGTGCTTGGGTGTGCCACTGTGCGAATGTGCAGCCCCTTGGGGCCCGTTTCTAAGTTCTGGGTGTGTGTTTCCTAACTGCTCTCCTCCTTGTGATCGCAAATCATCTGCAAAGTTTGCCCTTGATTGAAAAAGCTCGGTCACCTCTCCTATGTTTCAGCACCATGGTGAGGCCTTAGCAAAGTAAGGCTGGAGGTGCGTCTTACAATCAGCGGGGGAGATGACAGACGGGGCATTGCAGAGGGGTGAGGACCCCTATGCCAGATTGCAACTGCAGCCACCTGCGCTTAAACCCTAACTGTGAGACACTGGGTAAATCCCCGTGCCTCAGTTTCCCCATTTGCTAAACACAGATAATCACAATGCTTACCATGTAGGACTGCTATGAGGGTTACATGGATGAATGCTTGTTATGTGCTCACAATAGAGTCTGGGCCACAGGGACTGTTTTAGATGTCCTTGTTAAAAAATAAAACAAGACCCAGCCACGCCTGGCCTATCTCTTACAGAACAAGTCACCCTGGGTGAGGCTGAGCCATCCTTCAGAGGAAACACACACCACTCCCACCCAGCAGGCTCCGGGCTCCTGGCACAGGTGCCACGGCTATGCCTCAGGCCTCTGCCCAGCCCCAATGTACACAGTGGTGAGGGCCTCGGCAGATGTAGCAGCAGAAGTCCAGTGTCCCAGGCCCGTTTGCTGACGAGCCACTGTTCACCTGCTGATTCTCTTCCTCCGCAGTTTCCAGCAAAGGGCAGAGGCGCCTTTCTAGGCTTTTCCAGAGGGAGGTGATGACCATGTCCCCACGGGGCCCATCCCCTGCTCACTGGGGCGTATCTTACGGCAGTGCCTCTCCATCCCACATACCTTGAAATGGGCTTCGGATTCCTCCTCCTGAGTTGAACTGGAGGGCGAGGGGGTGGCCGATTTGCTCCCTGGGGGTGACGGGGAGCCGTGGGCAATGCCGCTCCGGATGCCCATCTGGGAGATGAGCTGGGACTGGCTGAGGGCACTCATGTGGCTGGCCAGCATCGCTGGGCGTCCCAGTAGGGGCCCTGGCCGGCCCGAGTCGTAGGCAGCAACCTCGGAGTGAACCATCTCCTGGATCTAAGAGAGGAGGACAGGACAGAGCGTTAGCTTTGGAAGGGGCTGCCCTGCCACACGGTCTCATGTGCCCTCAGAGGCAGGGCCTGATGGTGAGCAGTGGTAGGTGGCCTGGCTCCCTGCCTCCTGAGGTGTCCCGAGGGGTGGAATCTCCGCTGTGCTTTGGTGGCTGCATGATTTGGAGCACTTGTGAGGGATCAGGGCTCCTTAACACTCTGCCTCTCTGGTGTCATGCACCTTGGACAATTAGCATGCCAGCCCCTGCCAGGGAGCTCAGCTCAGCTGTGAGTAGAGCATCTCATGCTACTGGCTTCCCTCTGGGACGCATCTCTGCATCCATTCAGTATGCAACATCACACGTAGCACACAGCACAGACGCTGGAGGTCAACTACATTTTGAATCCTGGTCCTGCCCCTTCTAGCTGGGTGACTTTGGCTGAGTTACTTAGTACTTCTGTGCCTCGGTTGCTGTAAAATGTGGATGTAATGAAACCTACCTTCTAAGGTTGTTAAAGATCAAACGTACCTGACATACGGTAAGCCCTATATTGTACTAGCATTTGTTAAATACATTGAATAAAAACATCTTTTTATCAAGTTTCGTACTTTCAGGTCAGTAATTTTCTTGGTAATTCTGTTCCCCATGATATTTTCTAACTGGCTATTTTTGGAATCCTGTAAGAACGCTAGTGGTTTCACAGATAAACATTTCTCATACTAAACTCCTAGTGAGAGGAATCTGTACTCTTGACCCAAACATACCACACACACACACTCACACACTCATTCAGTGAGGCTTACCAACTTTCACACTCTTATAATGGCTTTTGTTTCCTCTGCACCTGTGGCCATTTCCCCTTTAATGTATAATGTTATATGTCTGCATTTTTTCTCACTTCTTCATTAGGTAAGCCAATGGACTTTCAATTTCATGTACACTATTTCTTTTCTCATGCAAAGAATCAGACCTCTAACCCCTCTGTTTTCTAATTTTTTTTGTACCAGGAATCAAACTCGGGACCTTGTGCTTGCCAGGAAGGCACTGTGCCACTGAGCTATATCCCTGGCCTGTTTTCTAATTCTTTTTTTTTTTTTTTTTTGGTTTTTCTCCGGTACCAGGAACCGAACTCACGACCTTGTGCTTGCCAGGCAGGTGCTTTGCCGGTGAGCTAAATCCCCAGCCCCTGTTTTCTAATTCTTAATATGAATTTTATGTTTATTAATCTCTCCCTCTGCTTTTTAACATTTATTATCGTTGCTTCCTCTCTAAAAATGTGAGTTACATTTTTAATTCACTTATTTTTCCTCCTTTATTTTTGGTAGTAAGTTTCAGGCTATGAATTTTCCTCTGACTATGACTTTAGTCACAGGTGCAGAGGAAATAAAAGTCATTATAAGAGTGTGAATTTTCCTCTGAAAATGCATTTCTCATAGACTTCAAGTAAGATTTTGGTATTACTCTTTTTTTATGTACAAGTATTTCCTTTTTCATTTTTTTCTTCCAAGAGTTATTTAAGAATTCTAGAATTTCTAAGTAGTTAATTTTGCCTCTGTTCTCTTTGCATCTAATTTTTATTAACAAAAATAATCAAAGAATGTGGAATGTACTATTTGTACTTTTGGGAATTCTTTAAATTTTTTCTTTTGGACCCAAATGTAATTAAATTTTATACCTATTCTATAGGACTTAGATGCAAAATGTAGGATGTGCTGGCAGATTTATATAGCAGTATATTATGGATTTGATTAGCAGTGGTTATATTATTTACATTCCTTTCTTAATTTTGGTTCCTTAATCTGACACAGGCTTGTCTAGGGTGCTCCAATTTTTCTGCTTCCATGAAATTCCCCCTTTTACTCTTAAAGTTTTTGTTTTGAGAACTTGATGTTAATTTGTATTGCAAATAGAAGCCTAGCCATTATATCTTCAACCCAGATCGAGCTTTTTATTATTATAACATCGCATTTTTGGTCTCATTTTGCCAAGTGAATTCAGTGGAGTGTGGTATTAATATTACTGCCGTTGCCTATATGTTTCTTTATCTTTGTCTGCTGTGTCTTTATTTCTGAGAACTGTCTTTTTGTGCATCTCTCAGTTTTTATTTGTTACAGGTATCTTTGTCAAATGCTGGTGTTTTTGTTATGACCAGCTTAATAAAAACAACTCAGATGTTTCTTTTTCTTTATGTCTGGAACAGCATAAATAACATAGAAATCTTATTTTCCTTAGAGAAATGTCAGAGTTTAGACAAAAAACCATCTGGAGTCCAGTTTGGTTTTTGTTTTTTTTTTTTTACACTTTAACACTATCTTCCATAACACATCTATTTTAGTTTCCAAGAAAATTAGCCATCTCATCTAGATTTCTTTCTAATTGCTGGGGCTAGAACTCAGGGTTTTGTACATGGTAGGCAAGTGGTCTACCGCTGTTATGGCTTGTGTCTAGATGTCCCCCCAAAGCCTCATGTGGTTATAGGTGGGGCTTTTCAGAAGTAGCTGGATCTAGAGTGTGTGATGCTGGGATTAAGGATGCGATGCTAAGATGATTCAAGGTGCAATTTGAGGATTAAAGGTGCCCTACCCTGCGTGTGAGTGCTACTTGCCCAAGGGACAAAAAGAGGGCTGCTGTTGTCACTGCTTGTTACTTGTTGCTTCTTCACTACTTCATTGCTTTGCTGCCTTCTGCCTGCCATGAACTGTTTCTCCTCTGTGATGTACCTCTGCCATCCCACCCTGTCTTGGAGTCAGCTGAATATGCACAGAAACCTCTACACACTGTGAGCTATAATAAACCTCTCCTCCTTTAACTTTGGATGTTGGGTATTTTGTCTCAGCAAAGAGAAAAATAATTAAGACAGCCACTGAACCACATTCCCTGCAGGCCTTCCCCTAGATTTGTTTGTTTATTTGTTTGTTTTGAGACAGTATCACTGTGCAGTTCAGCCTGGCCTTGGACTCACTATGTAGCCCAAAGTGGCCTCAAACTTGTAGCAATCCTCCTGCTTCAGCCTCTTGAGTGTTGGGATTACAGGCATGCACCACCACACCTCGTTTTCATCTAGATTTTAACTCTTATAATTGTGACTTTTTCATTTATCCCATGGTTTTTGTAGTTAAATTCCCACTCAGAACTATAATACTGTCAATGCATGTTACTCTGTAAATTTTTTCTTCTTGAAAGTTTAAATGCTATGGCTGTCTATCAAAAGGACCAATTCTTATAGTTTTAAAAAAATCAGTTCAACAACTTCTCCGCTCTTTAATTGAATTCTGTTTCCTCTTACTAATGTTGATCTCAGGTATCATACATATGTGCTTTTTTATGTAGCTTTTTCAAATTAAGCATTTATTTCTTTGCACATTTTCTTTTTAGTATTGAGGCAACTAGGGCAGGGGTTCAAACAGGAACAATTTTGCCATGCAGGGGACATTTGATGATGCCAGAGGACATGCTTGGCTTTCACAGCTTGGAAAGTGTGCCTGAAATCCGGGGAGTGGAGGCCAAGGGTGTTAAATGCGCTATAGTGCACAGGATAGCTTCCCTGGGCTCCAGCCCATGAGCAAAGAGTTTGGAAGCCCTGGAAGTCAGCAGTGCTGAGGGTTAGAAGTTATGCTCTCCCACGAAGATTCTTCCCCTGAGGAGAATTTTAACTGCATCATACAAATATTTTAAAAATATTTTACAATGGAAGATTTGATTTTCATTTTTTACTCTGAAGTTATTTGGAAGAGTGTTTTTATTTATTGTACCTTTTTGTTATTGTGGTTCACAGAACATGACTGCTAGACTTTTATCTTTTTGGAATATATTGAAGCTTCCATTATGGCTTAGGATATGACCCATTTTTGTAAATTTTTCATGTATATCTAAA